GCTTTCTGCTAGGCTCAGTGGACAGAGCCCCAGCAGAGAGAGGGAGGAAAGAGAATGAAGCAGGGCTTCCCCTACAAGATGGTTTCAAGGGGTAGGAAAGGGGCTCTAAAAAACACTTTTCTGTTGGGCGGTGGTGAGGTGAATCTCTTTTGTGTTCAAGGCCAGCCTGGTCTACAAGAGCTAGTTCCAGGATAGCTAGGACAGAGAAACCCTGTCTCGAAAAACAAAACAACAACAACAACAACCAAACCACTTTCCCCTTCTAGGCCCACAACATGTAATTCTTTCTCTGACCTAGCTACAGGCCCAAGGTTTTTTTTTTTTTTTTTTTTTTTTTTCATTTTTGACAACTCTGTCTCCTCTTTACCAAGCCACTGCAAAACAAAACAAAACAAAACTTCAAAACCCTAAAATTATCCTCAAAGCAACGTCTCCCAAGGTGACTCTGACTCACCTGCCTACAGCCCACAGTCTCTCAGGCCACTTCCATAGTCATCTAGACTTGTTTTTCCCCCAGACAGAGTCTTACATAACAGAACTATTCTCAAACTCAGTACGCAGCTAAGGATGATCTTGAACTCTTCCTCTGGCTTCACTTGAGTGCTGGGATTATGGGTGGGTAGCCCCCCACTAGCTTTTTGCTTTTTTGTCTGTAATATGTATTTTTATTTTTGTGTGTCTGTGTGTATGGCCTGTGTGTGCAGATGCGTCGTTGTTATCTCCTGCAACTGGTGTTACTGATGTTTGAGAGCCCATCTGTCTGGGTGCCAGGATCTGAACTTAGGTCCTCTGGAAGAACAGTACTCTGAACCACGGAGCCATCTCTCCTGACTGCCTTTTTGTTTGTTTGTTTGTTTGAAGGGATGGGTGTTTTTATTTTTGGAGACAGGGTCTATCTAAATAACCTTGGCTATCCTGGAATTCTCTACGTACACCAAGCTGACTCACAGAGGTCCACCTGTCTCTGCTTCCAGAGTCCTGGGATTCAAGGCATGCCATGCCCAGCTTAGAGGCTTTAAAAAAAAAAATGCTGAGATTACATCAATGAACCATTTGCTCAACTCTGATAAAGAAGTTTATCTATCTCATCTCATTGCATTATATTTTAGTTCTTTCAGTACTCACAAATTTAATAATTTGAAGAGGCAAATTTGCCGTATCCTGTCTTCTGGCCAGCAAACCAAAAACAAATTAGTAAAATGAAAAACTTTCTTCTCAAGGGATCTCAGCCCCTTATAGAAGGAAATCCATTCAACAGCATGTTATTCAGAAAGTGGACGCGGCAAACATAGTCTGTGGCACCCCAGCCCGTTCACACCTACACGTGCAGGTCCATACACACCCTGAAAGGGTCTCCTTCCAACTCACAGCTGACCAATCCCTGCCTACTGTTGAGTTTTCCATAAGAACAAAGGATTCTGGAGAAACCAGTTCTCAGACTGGCAGGACTGTCCAGGCCTATGTTGCTGGAGCCCAGAACATAACAAGAGCTCACCAACGTTGTGGTCTGTGCTAGGGACTGAGGGCTGGCCTCTTTTTGCCCTCTTCCGAGGAGATTAAGAATAGAACCCAGGGCTAAGAATGTAGTTCAGTTGGTCATGTGCTTGCCTAGTGCGCTTGAGGCCCTTGGTTTGATTCCCTAGTACCATATAAGCCAGGCACAGTGGTGTACACCTACAATCCTGGCACTTAAGAGATGGAGGCAGGAGGAACAAAAATTCAAAGTCATGGGGTGGTGGCAGCGCACGCCTTTAATCTCAGCACCCAGGGAGGCAGAGGCAGGTGAATCTCTGTGAGTTTGAGGCCAGCCTGGTCTACATAGCGAGTTCCCAGGACAGGCAGGATTACACAGTGAAACCCTGTCTCATAAAACCAAGAAAAAAAAAGTACAAAGTCATCTTTTCTTTGAGGACAACATAGGGTGCTAAAGAGACTCTCAGGAACAAAATAACAAAATGAGATCTGGTAGTCCCAGCTGTGCCCTTGGGCCAGCTACCTTCTCTCCACAGTGCTACTTCCTCCTTGGAGGATGGTCTGCTATAGAGTCAAGAAGAGCATGTTGGCAAAGCATGCTGGGCAGGCACATTCCAGGTGAGCCAAGTGGCTTGTGATATCTCCTGACCACGGAATGAGTGGAGAGGTGAAGACCTCCTCCAGAGTGTGTGAGAGGTCAACTCTGTCCCCAGGGAGGTGTGAAGTTTCAAGCTCAGGATTTGTGAAAGATTTAAAAAAAAAAAAAATTCCAGCTGGGCAGTGGTGCCTCACGCCTTTAATTCCAGCACTCAGGAGGCAGAGGTGGGTGAACCTCTGTGAGTTCGAGGCCAGCCTCGTCTACAAGAGCTAGTTCCAGGACAGGTTCTAAATAAAAAAAAACTACAGTGAAACCCTGTCTCGAAAAACCAGAAAAAAAAAAAAAATCCATAGCCCTCCCCTGACTATGAGAAAGTCTAGTCTGGGAAAAGAGAACAAGAATGCTGCTACCTGGCTAGCAGGGAGAAAAAAGGGGTGTAGTGTTCCCCAAATCTCACCTTCAGTGTCAACAGCAGCTGGATGGCATTGGTGAAGGGCGTGGGAGTGGGCAGGCCCAGCAGGCTGAGGGCTCGGAAGAAGAGGAGATAGGAGAAGGTCCAGGCAAGAGCCAGGGCATGACAGGAGCTAGGACAGAGGTGGGAAGTTATAGAGTTGGGTACAGGGACCTTGGCCCTGCTTCCTTCTCCTGAGTGTGGCTTTATACCCCACCATTCCCCCATTCAGCCTGAAAAAAGAGGGGGAGAGAGTGAGGACCAGTGGATGGCAGGCAGGGACAGAAGAGGCACAGCCACAGAGAAAGAAAAGAATGAAGGAGTCAAGAGATAAGCGTTGTGGTGAAGAAGAGAGCCAGCCAGAGTGCAGGACTGGGTTACAAATGACTACCATCATGTGGACATCGAGGACTGGGGCAAGTCTGCAGGGACAGGAAGGTGCAGAACAAGGTGAGAGAGGAAGAAACACGTCCAAGACACGGAGAAACATGAGAGAAACAGCAGGCAGCAAGAGACTGAAAGAGAAGAAATGGAAGACCCCACGAGGAAACAGGTTGCTGTTTCTCTGCATCCTCCTTTCTTTCTCACCAAGGCTGGGCCTGAATGAGGGCCCAGGTTCCCAAGATGGTGATCAGAGAATGCAAAGAGTGGGGGCCACAAGTGAATAACGTGAGCCCCAGGCCGACAGCTGCTGCCCCCCATTTCTTCAGCCCAGGTCCTGAAAGGAAAAGGTAAAGTGTAAGCATAGAACTTTCGGGAGGGGTGATCCCCCACCTCAGCTCCCTCACCCTAATTTTCCACTGGGCACGGAACCTGACTCACCAGCTTTCTTAAAGAGGAAGCCGATAGGGATGGAGATAAGCAGGACCACTAGATAGGTCCATTCTTCGGGTGTCATGGTCTGGGGAAGGAAGGGCTCACAGTGAGAACTAGTATTCCAGCCCCTTCCTCTTTTGAGAGTAGAATCCCCTACTTTTGAGAAGCCAGGCCTCCAGTTCACTCCTCCTTCCAGGACCCAGGAATCAAGCCCCTCACCCCAATCCTCTGCCAACGTACAAATCAAAAGCATTTCTGCCTCTATTTAAGACCTAGACATCTAAACACCTTCTGGCCCGGAAAACAATCCTTTGCAAGACCCTTCCTCTCTGATAGACGAGGAACCCACACCATCCCCACCTTCCTCTGAGTACACAGGAATCCTTAAGAATCCTGTCTGGATCCCCAGACTCCCCTATGTCTCAGGGGACCCCCAAACCCAGGACTCCTACCGCTACCCACCCCGGCGAAATCCAGCATTTAGCATCCACTTGTCTTCAGAGCTCCGGCCTCCTCTCCAATCCAGACCCCGGAGAGAAGGCGATGACCCTGTCTGATCTGCAGGCTCCCTCCGTAGCCCAGCCCCGCGTGGATCCGATTCCGCCCCAGCAGATCCACAGGCGGTTACGCCACCCAGCCGGGCCACGCTCTGGTCCCCGTCCCCGCACCCAGCCACCTTACGATTTTCAGCGACGCCTCCGTACAACCCCACCTCGGCCCACCTGAACCGTCCGTGGACCAGGAGGCTGAAGAGAAAATCCCTCTTTCGCGACCGCCCCTGCTCGGGCCACGCCTCCTCAGCTCAGCACGCCCCCGCACTGCCGGTTCCCGAGGGTGCCCGCTGGGCTGCGCGGTCCAGGCCCAGAAAGCGGATGCAATACGCATACAGCACGGTGGGAAAAGAACCCAGAACACCAAAGCGTGGAAGGATGCCTGCCCCGTTCTTTCTGGGAGGCCCCAGGGCAAAGAGCTGCCAGTAAAGGGGGGCGGGGTTTCGGGTCAGAGGCGGGGCCAAGGCTTCGAGTCCCGATGAAAACGGGTTGTGACTTAAGAAGGAGGCGGGACCTGGAGCTCGGCGTTCGGAAAGAGGAGGACCCTCAGCTTCGGATTCCTTCGGGTACACTCGGTAATTCAAGCTCACGGCGTGGAGGTGGGGCCACAAACTTCGGCTTACTTCGGAGATAGGCGAATTCTTAGCGTCACGGTTCGGAATTAGAAGCGTTCACAAATTCGGCCGGATGTAGGCGGGCCCACACGCTTCGGCGTGATTCGGAGATAATCGGTTCCAAAAGTCGCTGTTTAGTGTTAGGCGGGCTCACAAACGCAGCCCGATGTGGGCGGGGCCACACACTTCGGCTTACTTCGGAAATCGTCGGAATCAGACGGGTGGTGTGTGTCAAAGAATAGCAGGATGTAGGCGGAGCCAAAAGCCTGGACTAATTTCGGATAGTTGAATACGTTTTAGGTCACTGTCAAATGCCAGTGAGACCAGAGGTTTTGTCTGAACTTTGGAAATAATCAGGGGTAAGTGGACTTAGTGGAATAACAAGTGGAGCCAAGAGCTTCTCGAAATATCTAGCCTTATTTGGGGGAGGAGGAAGGCGGAGCCATAGAAGACCGGAAAAGGCAGTACGCGAGATCATTTATAACGGGGCGGGGCCTACAAGACTCGGTAGGCACGGGGGTAGGGACAAGGGCGGTGACCCTCAAGGGCCCACATTTGGAGACCCTGCGGCCGTGAGGGCTCGCCTCAGGTTTTCAGCTCGGCTAACGTGACGGGATGACGGAGGACGCGCTACGTAGTGCCGGCTCCGCCTCTACTGAGAGTGTTGGCTAGCAGTTGACTTATGGGCTCTGACCGAAGACAGTGCTACAGAGTGAAGAGAAGTTAAGACGTGCACTGCGTCCAGAGTTCAATCGTGGGCGACAGCTCCCGAAACTGGGTAGGGAGTGGGCGGGGTCACAGCTGGAGGTGCGACTTGGCAGGGGTGGCTGATTCGACAGAGCCGAGCACTCCCGAATGCGTTCGGTAGTAGAGCCGAGATCACCGGAAGGCTGACACTCTTGTGTTTAGGGTGGGCAGGGCTCCGGATTGAGCCGAACCGAGGATGCTGGAACATCGAACCACTTGCGCAAGACAGGATTGGGTTCTTTAAAGTCCGCCTAAGTGAATAGGCAGAAAAGGCGAACCTCGGAAATTCGACATGGGAGGGTCTGGGTTCCAAGTCTCTAAAAGAGGGTGTGGCTTGAGCAAATCGCCAATCTACGTTGAGGTTCGGGACTTGATGGACACACCCGAAAGAAGACACCCACTTTGCGAAAAGGGCGGTGCACCGCTATGGCGGGAGGAGACGTGATGCGGTGGCACGCATTGGCCGAGATGATGGTCACCAGGACCTGAGGGGGGGAGCAGAACAGTGGGACCTGGGCGAGGGGCGTGGTCTCGAGCGGTCCTTCCGGGTGGGGCTTGGCCTGGGGCGCAGGTGGCAACCCCGGTCCCGCCCCCTCGGGTTCAGGGGCGGACCTTGCTTGCACGGGGGCGTAGAAGGCTTCAGTCCGGTCTGCGGGGTTGTTTGGGTGACCAACACCCCCACTTTGCAGGAGGATGCTGGTGGTGGAGGTTGCTAATGGCCGCTTGCTGGTGTGGGGAGCTGAGGCCGTGCAGGCGCTGCGGGAGCGCCTGGGAGTCGGGGGCCGCACGGTGGGCGCCCTGCCCCGCGGGCCCCGCCAGAACTCGCGCCTGGGCCTCCCGCTTCTGCTGTTGCCGGAGGAAGCCCGGCTCCTAGCTGAGATAGGCGCCGTGACGCTCGTCAGCGCCCCGCGCCCGGATCCCCGCAACCATGGCTTGGTAAGAAGCGAAAAGGCCCTTGTGGTGGGAAAGCCTGGGATGGCCTGTTTTGGAAGGACACTGTTGGGAGGTTGTAAACAGGGTCAGGATTCCTGTCTTCCTAAGGGACCGCAGGCTATGTCTTGGGGTTCCAGTTAAGTTTATTTCTCAGGCCCTAGCATCGTTCAAACGCCAGCAAGAGCAGAGTTTCCAGGAGCAAAGCACTTTGGCAGCCGAGGCCCGTGAGACCCGTCGTCAGGAGCTCCTAGAGAAGATTGTAGAGGGCCAGGCTGCCAAGAAGCAGAAGCTGGAGCAGGATTCAGGGGCGGATGAAGGCCAAGAAGCCAGTGGGAGCGAAGCTACCCAAGGGAGTGAAACCAGTGATGATGGCCAGGCTGCCAAGAAGCAGAAGCTGGAGCAGGATTCAGGGGCAGATGAAGGCCAAGAAGCCAGTGGGAGCGAAGCTACCCAAGGGAGTGAAACCAGTGATGATGGCCAGGCTACTGCCGAGCAGGAGGGAGCAGGTGAGAGTAGTGTTTGGAGTTCAGATTTGGGGCAGGAGGGAAGGAAGCTTTAGGGAATTTTAATTGAGGTTTTGGGGGGATAAGGACACCTTGCCTTGTGGATTCAGTAATTCTTCTCTATACCTTCCCCCAGACTCTTCATCTCCCCAGCCAGGGCCTTCAAACGGGGTGACCCCCTTGCCCAGGTCAGCCCTGCTCATCCAGCTGGCCACTGCCAGGCCTCGGCCGGTAAAGGCTAAGCCTCTGGACTGGCGTGTGCAGTCCAAAGACTGGCCCCGTGCTGGCCGCCCTGCCCACGAGCTGCGCTACAGCATCTACCGAGACCTGTGGGAGAGAGGCTTCTTCCTCAGCGCAGCTGGGAAGTTCGGTGGTGACTTCCTGGTCTATCCTGGTGAGTTCAGGTTGGGGCTCTGGTGGCTGTACCTTTCCTGCTGGTCTTTTTATTCTGCACTTTCTCTTTTGTCTACACCCTGGGGACTCATTGCCCTGGAGACTCAGGGAAGGACAGTGGCTAATGAGAGAGTTTTCCTGAGCTCCTGGAGAGTAGTTTAATAACTTGTTTGGCTTGAGTCAGGGTCACATTATGTCGCCACGACTAGCTTGGAATTTGCTATGCTGCACAAGCTAGCCTTGGAATGCAAAGTCTTCCTTTCCCTGCTTCCCAAGTGCTGGGATTACAGGCTTGTGTCACAGCAGCTGGCTTGATTTAGTAACTCTTGATAAATATTATGATCTAGAAGATTGGCTTAGAAATCCTTGCAAATGTGCGCAAAACATATGAGCGCATGCCCTGCAGGATTCTTTATAGAATTGAAAGATTAAAAGCAGCAAAGTCACTATTAGTAAGGGCAAAACATAAAAATTAAACTGAGAGAGGTTGTTCCATCTTTTAATCCCAGTCCTGGGGAGGCAGAGGCAGGTGCATCTCTGAGTTCCAGGCAACAGCACCAGGTGGTGTTGGCGCACATCTTTATTCCCCGCACTAGGGAGACAGAGACAAGTGGATCTTTGTGAGTTCAAGGTCAGCCTGGTGTACAGGGTGAGTTCCAGGATTGGCTCCATAGCTACTCAGAAACCCTGTCTTGAAAAACAACAACAACAACAAAAGCAACCCAGTTGTCCGAGAACATAGTGTTAATTTTCAAAGAATTAATGTGTAGGATTGTAGTTGGGTATGGTGGTGCATGTCTCTAGTGATAACTGAAGGCATAGCTAGTTTGAGACTAGCTTTGCCTGCATGATAACCCATCTCAAGAAAGAAAAGAAAAATGGGGTGTGATGACTCTGCCTATAATCTTAGTTCTTTAGAATTCGAGACAGGAGGGTTGCCACAAGTTTAAGACTTGAATAGGCTATATAGTGAGGTCAGGCCAACCAGGGCTGGATATCCAGACCCTGTCTGAAAACAGAAAAAGTATAGGATCATGCATGTGAAAACTATAATCAAAAGTGAAAAAAAAATGGTAAGTGTATGGTAGATTATGTGTTGATATGGATATGCAGATGCCTGCATGGCATTTAAGTAGCCGTGGTCATTGACATTCTAGCTAGGTCTCAGTATGCCTGTATCCCCAACTACTTGGGAAACTGAAGCATAATTTCTTTGACCTGAGATTAAAAAACCAACCTATGCAACATATGAAACATAGTGAGACTCCTTTTTGTAGATAAAACTACTGCGGCCTAAAATTACTAGTTTAAATCAGTTAATTTCATGATGCTTTTTCATTTTTTATTTTTTTGAGTTGGAAGCAATCTTCTTGCTGTCGGCCTCCTGGGAGCTAGGATGACAAATGTGTGCCACCACATCCAGCTCTAATTCTGTGCATTAAATTGAACCCTAAGCTGAACTACTTGTCCTCTTCTTTTCTTTCCTATAACAGGGTGATCCCTGACTGTCCTCAAACGTGGAAGTGCTGAGATGATTAAAATGCATAAGCATTCAGGTCTGGCACTGACCAATTAGTTCTAATATGTCAATATTTCTAAAACAGTGAGTACTCAGTGTACCGGATGCTGAGAGAATCGTTGTTGCCCATGAAATAGTGTCCAAAGCCTCAATCACTGTAATGCTTCTAAATTTATTTTTAAATTTTGCCTGAGGCTCAGAATTGCTAAGCGACCAGGAAAACAGTTACAGGATTAGTTTCTCAAGCATTTTGATGTACCCTCTCAGCCGATTGGAGTCTTTAACAGCCAGAGACTCGCACTTTTGGCTAAACTCTTGCCAGGAACCCATCTGCCAGGCAGGGACATAGCAACAGTCTCCTTAGAATGCTTCACAGTCTCATGGTTTAGATTCTCACCTCCTCCCCCTCTTAAAGATTGTTGATTTTGTTTTTTGGTGTTATGTGCGTGGGTGCACAGGGAGATCGGAAGATGGTATCAGATTCTCCTGGAGCTGGAGTTACAGGCAGCTGGGAGGTCGATGTGAGTGCGAGGAACTGAAGTCTGGTTCTCTGGAAAAGTGGAAGATTAGTTGCTGAGCCATCTCTCCAGCTCTCCGTTTTTAATTTTCACTGCCTGTGATTCACCCTCTTGTATAGTCTTATTCGGGTTCCTGTCCTGCTAACTTAGATTCACCTATTCCAGGGACAGACTGTCAGCTGTTCAGTTACCAAGCCCTCCGAGGGCCTCTGCTTCCAGAGCATGTGGCTGCAGTGCTGCACTGGCGGAGCCTACAAAACTAACCCGCGGCCGGGCAGTTGTGGCGCACACCTTTAATCCCAGCACTCGGGAGGCAGAGGCAGGCAGATCTCTGTGAGTTTGAGACCAGCCTGGTCTACAAGAGCTAGTGCCAGGACAGGCTCCAAAGCTACAGAGAAATCCTGTCTTGAAAAACTAAAAAAAAAAAAAACAAAACAAAAAACAAAAAAACTATCAAACTAACCCATGTTTACCGTCTGGCACGTATTTGTGGGGAAATCCTATTGATAATCTAGTTGTTTCTTTTTTTTCTTTTTCTTTCTCTTTTTTTTTTTTTCTGATACAGGGTTTCACTGTAGCCTTGGCTATCCTGGAACTTGCTCTGTAGACCAGACTGATTTGGAACTCAAAGACCTCCACTTGTCTCTGCCTCCCAAGTGCTCGGATTGGCATAGGACTTTGATTTTTGCTTTATTCTATTATAAAATCTTTTCTTCTTTAGTCTATTAGAATCCCGGCCTGGTCCTGTTAATGTTTTGTGGTTGCACTAGAAATCAAACCTTGCCTGTGCTCCATAAGTGGTCTGCAGCTACATCCCAGCACTTACGACTTATCTTTCAATCTTGACTTGCTTTCTTTTGTTTCTTTTTCATCTTTTATTTTGGTAAAAATGTCTGTATGGTACCCAGGTTGGCCTTGAACTCCTAAGCTCAAAGAGTCTCCTGGCCTAAGCCTTCTATGTGCTTGAGGTTACAAGCCTGTCTCACTATATCTTTTAATCATGATAGTTGCATATTGTTTAGTCTTACAGGTAGGTGTACCTTGTACCACGGAAGTAACCATTCTTTGCTTTCTCTTCTGTGTCTTGGCAGTTGTGAACCATCTTGGGCCATTAAAGCCAACCTGGGTCACATGAAACAGCTGTCTCAGAAAAAAATGGAAAAAGAGGGCTGGAGAGATGGCTCAATGGTGTTCTTGCAGAGAACCCAGATCTTGTCCCCAGCACTCTCATGGTGGCTCAAAACTACTTCTAACCCCAGTTCTGTGGGATCTAATACCTTCTTCTGGCTTAGGCAGGTACCAGGCACACGCATGGTACACATACACGCATGCAGGCAAGCAAACACTCATATACTTTAAATAAATAAATCAAAAGAAAATTTTAGAATACTTAATCTATACAAGGCCCTGACTTCTGTACACAGCACTACAAAGGAACCTAAAATGCAGTAAGCAGAAGGATCCATTGTCGGTGCTCCAGCCTGTCCAGATGGGAACTGCTATGCATCTGTCTTTCTCTCAGGTGACCCGCTGCGATTCCACGCTCACTACATTGCTCAGTGCTGGGCTGCTGAGGACCCCATCCCACTTCAGGACCTGGTCTCTGCCGGCCGCCTGGGAACCAGTGTCAGAAAGACCCTGCTTCTCTGCTCCCCTCAGCCTGATGGGAAGGTTGTCTACACCTCCCTACAGTGGGCTAGCCTGCAGTAAGCTGCAGACTGAGGAGGGTGTGGTTATGTGTCCAAGAACCCTCCTAGATGATCAACTCCTCCTCCTCACCCCCCCATCTTGCATGGAGGCTTGTGTTCTCCCGCCTTGCCTGATTCCAGAGTTTTGAACACTAAATACTTTATTACTTTATT